CGGCTCCAAGAGGATACTCCAAGCAGGGAGTATAGGAAGGACAGCGCGAAGGACACACACCCGCAGGCAGAAGTGAGCGCTTCACGTTTATTGCGGTGCTGGAGCGAGGGGGCTGTGCTGGTGTCATTCACCAAGTCGCTGGTTTATTCATTGACAGGTAGTAGTTCAGAATATGCAAATTACTGTCCTACGTAGCCAAAAGGTTTGGGTGCTTGAAAGGTTTGAATGCCACGAAAACAAACATTCTCTGTATTACTTTGAGCAGTGTGCTTAATTTTTTTGCTAACACAAGAGCAAATAAAGATACAATTGCCACTTTTCCAAATTACTTGAAAGTAGGTGCTAACTTAGCAAGTCTAACAATCTCCTACTTGAAATGTGTACATAACTCAGACAAAGGTTTGAAGTAACACTGATCTATGCATATTTCAACATTGTCATTCCAATGCTTTTAAAAATGCAGCTAAATATTAACTGTTACCACAGAAGCAGACAAAATAGATGCTCTTACTACTCACTCAGCACAATGTCTCTTCTTTAGAAAGACAAAGTTCCTAAAACCTATTTTAAAGTGTAATGTAAGCCATAAGGGTTACAGACCATATTTCTGTGTCTTGAAAAAATACTTAGGGTGGGTTAATAGTCACAGGAAAAATGACCTAGGCTTGACTTCAACAGTGAATATTTGGAAAGAATGGGCCAGCAATTGCTTACGGAGCAGATGTGGCGTAATAGAAAATATATGAAACAAATTCATGTTCAAGCAAAGAGGTTCATGAAGTCCTTTCCAGTTCTCAAGCTCCAGGACTAGCATCTCCAGCATATTTAAGATTTCAGTCCATTTTTCCAATGGCATTCACAGCTGCAGATTCTGGATTTCCTGATAAGCTCTACCTACAAAGATTCAGCTCCTAGTGTGCTAATAAATACACCCTGCACATCACAGATGTTCCATTCAAATGTCTCATATCCTGTACATACATTCATTTCACATTCATTTCATTGACAGAGTCAACACAAAGAGCAGCCAGCACAGCTTTGAACAGCTATGGAGGATGCTTCAAACTGTGGAGCG